TTCTCCTTCTCTATCACAAACTCCAGGTTAGATACTTTCCCCTCACCTACTCAGGTTTACTATCATTTCTACCACTGCAATAAGTTTCTCCCTGTTAGGGAGAAAACTGACTCAGAATAGAATTTCCCCTTATTGGTTTCTCCGTCTTTCAAGGATGACAAGAAGTTATTAGCTGCTCTGCTTTGGGGAGAGAGAGAGTTCCAGCAGATGTTATAATAACTGAAGTCCCTTATCACTACTTCATCATATCTCTGCGCTAGACTTGTGACGTTCCCCAGACTCCTCATTTATTTCTTCTCTTCTGTCTAGGTGGTTACTGGTGTACTCCAATGACAAAGTCACTTTGTTCCTTCCTCCTTTGACCTTCACCCAAATACTCTCTATCATGCTGGTTCCTGTATTTCCACCTTCTTAATATACAGTGCTACCCCACCCTCCCCATCTACTTACTCTTTTTCTTTTGAATAAGGTAAACCTATATCCGTAGCCACAGTCCAGTCATATGGATCATCCCACCAAGTTTCCATGATACCTATCAGGTTAAATTTGCCTCCTTGCACTAGTATCCCTAGTTATTGTTACCTGTATCAGAGCAGGAATCCTATCTAACTGCACTCTGGACCACAATGGTTTCAGGTGAGTTAGTTACTGTTGGCTAAGACAAGAGGACACATTTGCTTCAAAAGCAACAGTTCTTCATTCCTAGATATTTTTTCCTACCAAAGAATAACTTGGAGGAAAAGAGAGATACAAGTCTTCTAGGTGTCTCCTAATATTGTTTGCTTTGCCCTTTATTAAATGACATAAACACCCACTGTACAAAGAACAAATTTTTTCATTATTCATTTTCTTTACATTCCTCAGCATCTAACTAATGTGGTTTGGTTTTTTTGTGCGGCAAATTTAAAAGCAAATGTCCAAAACTGGGCAAGCAACTTTAACCTCAACTATGTCTTCACTTGTGTGGAAATCCTTTTATCCATTTCATACTGACTCCCTATGACTTTCCTCAAAGCAGTTGTTCCAAACCTTCTCTCCTTAAGCTCCAACTTACTTCCTACCCCTTCAACTCACCACTCCCCTCCTCTTAGCAAATCACCTCATCTCCTATTTCATTGGGAAAACCCAAGTCTTGACATAAGTAGAGCTAACTCCTCAACCCTATCCCCTCCAGTCTCTCGGAACCTGCTTAGTTGATCAACAATCTAACAAAAATAAACCTTTCGTTTGGCCCTACAAGATATCTTCTTATCTCATCTTCCCTCTCTACACTTTTTTTAGCCAGAGCAGTTTACTTCCCCAACTAGTGCTTCTTCATTTAATACTACACTCCTCCAACCACCTACAATCTGGCTTATATTCTCAATCCTCTCACTGGTATTTTTCCTCTCTTAGGTCACCAATAAACTTAAATTTTTTCCCTCAATTATATGCAAAATCAATTTTTAATATCATTTAAAAAAATTTTAAGTTCCAAATTCTCTCTGTCCCTCTACTCCTCCCTTCTTGAGAAGGCAAGCAATTTTATATAGATTATATACAGTGCAGCCATGCAAAACATGTTTCCATATTAGCCATGTTATAAAAGAAAATAAAGGCAAAAAAACCCCCTCACAATAATCCAGAAAAATAAAGAAGAAAAAAGTATGATTTCAACTGCATTTAGATTTCATCAGTTCTTTCTCTGGAGGTACATAGTACATCATAAGTTCTTTGGAATTGTCATGGATCATTGTACTGTAGAGAATAGCTAGATCATAGTTGATCATCAGACAATACTGCTGTTACTCTGTACAATGGTCTCTTGGTTCTGCTCACTTCACTTTGCATCAGTTCATATAAGTCTTCCCAGGTTTTTTCTGAAACTACCCTGCTTGTCATTTCTTATAGCACAATAGTATTTTATCACAATCATAAACTACAACTTGTTCAGCCATTCCCAATTGCTACCACAAAAAGAGCTGCTATAAATATTTTTGTACATATAGGTCCTTTTCCTTCCCCTTTGATCTTTTTGTGTTACAGATCCAGTAGTGGTATTGCTAGATCAAAAAGCAACTTTAACCTCAACTGGGTCTTCTTCACTTGAGTGGCATCACTCTTTTGGGCATGGTTCTGAATTGCTCTCTAGAAGGGCTGGACCAGTTCACAACTCCACCAACAGTGCATTGGTGTCCCAATTTTTCTACACTCCCTCCAGCATTTGTCATTTTGCTTTTCTGTCATGTCAGCCAATCTGATAGGTGTGAGGTAGAATCTCACTTGTTTTAATTTGCATTTCTCAACAGTAATTTAGAGCATTTCTTCATGTGACTATAGATAGCTTTGGCTTCTTCTGAAAACTGCCTGTTTATATCCTTTGACAATTTATCAGTCAAGGAATGACTGATATTCTTATAAATTTGACTCAGTTCTCTATATATTTGAGGAATTAGGCCTTTATCAAAGAAATTACCAATAACTTTTTAATTGTCAATGCCAATAGCTTTTTCTCAGCCCTTATCCCTCCTTGACTCTTCTGCAACTTTAAATACTGTGAAATCTTCCCTCCTACCCTTTCCTCCCTTGGTTTCTGTGACTCTCCTCTTTTCTGGCTCTTTTCCAGATTTTCTGACCAAAGTCCTAAGCTAGTTAGTTCTTCATCTTTCTACCACTACCCATGTATGAACATTCCTCAAAGCTCTGTCCTTCAGCTTTCCTTCCTATACTCCTGCAGGTGATCTCTTCTGTCCCCAACAGTGTAACAATCACATGTAACCTCATGTTCCAATGGTGTAATCACCACATGAGATGATTCTCAAATCAAAATCTCTAGCTCTGTTTTCCCCTCCGTGCTCCAGTTCTCCATTTGGCTGCCTGGACAGCTTTACCTGATTCTCACACTGGCACCTCAAATTCACCATGTCCAAAACATAACCATACATCTCTCTTCTTCCCTTCAAAAAAACCCACTCTCCTTTTCCCAAATTCCCTATTTCTACTAAGTGCATTATCATCCTCCCAGTTACCCAGATTCAAAATCTATCATATTTGTTCTTCCCTTTCCCTCATTCCCTCACATCTAGTCAATTGCCTTGTTTTGTCAATTCTTCCTCCACAACATCTCTCACATCTGTCCCATCTGCTCTACTTGCTCAGCTACTTCCCTTCCCTGACCTTTCAGTCAAGGCCTTGTCAGCTCTCATCTGGACTACTGCAATAGTCTACTAACTCTCCCTTCTTAAATACACCCTTGACACACCTACTGAAATAATCTAGGGCACAGGTCTGACCATATTACTCTTAGGTAAATCTACACTAGTTGTTCTTCTAACTCAACATGACATCTCTCTCAATGAATTTTACACAAGCCGTCTTTCATGTCAAAAATGACACTCTCCTTATTTCTGTCTTTCAGAATCCTTATCTTTTTTCAAGGCTCAGCACCTGTACTACCTTATCTGTGAAGCCTTTCATGAATCACACCTGAAAGCATTCTTTTCTTTCACCCCACTGTTTCTCAGATAGAATACAGTCTTCAGAACAGCATTTAAGACTCTCCACAGTGTGACTTTTATCTTTCTAGCCTTAGTTCATATTACAGCCCTTTATGAATTGTACATTCCAGCTAAACCAGATAGCCATTTCCTGAACTCAGTAGTTTATCTCCTGCCTCTATGGATTCACACAGACTGTCTCACTTGCCTGGGATGTACTTCCTCCTCATCTTTGCCTCTCAGAATTCTTGTCTTTTTTTTTTTTGGCCTTTTTGGTGAAGCAATCAGGATTAAGTGACTTGCTAACAAGTGTCATGTGTCTGAGGACAGATTTGAACTTACATCCTCCTGACTCCAAGGCCAGAGCTTATCCACCTAGCTGCCCTCTTGTCTTCCTTCAAAGCTCAGTTCAGTGATCTCCTCCCCCGTAAGTCTTTTCTGATTGCTACCCCTATGCAGTTTGCCTTACATTTTTGTTAAGGTGAAAATTATTTCTCCCAGCAGAATGTAAGTTCGCTGTGGGCAGGGACTTTTGCTTTGGTCATTGTATCCCCAGCACCTATTACTGGAGTTGGCACAGAATAGATAGTTAAATGTTCATTGAACTGAATTGTATATACCTCACCCCCCTCTGTTCTCTGCTTGAAGTTAGAGACTATGGTATTTTTTATCTTTTCATCACTGGTGCCTAGAATGGTAAACATAGTGGCTCTTAGGTTAATGTGTTAAAATGAAAAATTGCCGTATTAGATTATTTTGAGTGAAAGGGCTCTTATTTTCAAAAACATCAACATTTCTTTAGAGGCAGTTATGGACTGAATAAATTCTGCTTCTCTGAGACATAGACAAATCTATTCTGCTCCTTTCTTTGCCTGGGGGGAAAAGCCTACAACAGCCTCTCAGAAAAGCTGGAGTGCCAGATGCATATTTTCCTTATAGCCACCTCCCTGTTGACTGATAGGAAATTTACCATAACAAAGAGTTTCTGCTTTACAGTTGTTTTTAGAAAGCTATTTTGTTCTTGACATTTTTTGGGGGGGTATAATACAATATTTTTGGCACTCTACGTGCTTGATTTATTAAAGGTAAGCTACAAAACTTTACTTTTATTTTGTTCCCATTTAAACTCAGAAGTAAGACATGATTAAAATAATAATAATAATAATAATAATAACCTGACAGGCTCCTTGAATAATAATTAATGCTTCTCTTTGGCTCACTCTTTCCAGTTGACCAGTCATCAATCTCTTCCACTCTAGTGATCACTGTAACTGTTTCCTTTGCACTGTAGCATCACACCTCCTATACCTCTCTCCTCTCTTCTGAATTCATCTACAAAAACTAAAAGTTTCCCCCCCTTCTACCAACTTATTCTTTTTAATGTCCCTTTCTGGTAGTCGATACAAACATATCACTGAGGAAATACAATTGAATATAGATTTAGGTGCCATTTGCTGTGAGTCATTCTGCATACCAATATTTTAGCATTATACTAATAATGTAATAATGTATAGAGCTACTTACCCACAGTTCCTTCTGTGCCATCTGTTTCCTTTGGTATATAGTACATAGAAAGATCACTCTGAAGGACTTCATCTGATGTTGCTCTGGCTAAAGCAGCAGCCAAAAAGGAAGGGCAATTACTGAAAAAGATAAAGGAAAGGCAGTTTTCAGCAAGAGTTAATAAAGCAGTGAATTTCATATAAAGCTGAAGATATTTCAAAATAAGAAGGGATACAAGGAGGTCAAAGACAGAAAGGCCCCATATATACCAAAATACTCATAGTAGTGTTTTTTTGTGGTAACAAAAGTAGAAAGTGGGAACTCTTAGGTTGGAGAATGGCTGAAAGAAATGTGGGATGTGAATGTAATGGAATATTATTCTGCTATAAGAAATGAAGGGGTAGGGATTCAGGGAAATATGGGGAGGCGTATGAATGAATGAATGCAGAGCAAAAAAAAAAAGGAGAACCAGGAAAATAATAAATACAGTAACTATAAAGATGCTAATACAGACAACATTAAAAAGCAACTAAATTCAGATGAAATGTAAAGGTCAGTTACGATCTCAAAGAGGAGAGAGAGAGGAGAAAGAGGGAGGGGAAGAAAGGGAGGAGAGAGAGAGAGAGGAGATAGACTGTGGGATTTTGCTTAACTGTTTTTCTTTGTTACTGGGAAGGATTATATAGTGGGTATGTCAGAAAATGATTGTGAAATTAAAAACAAATGGGCATTGTAAAACAAAGGGGATACAGTAGCAATGTTTAAATCCTCCATTGCTGAGCCCCTTTGACAATTGTCAGACCAATTCAATTAAACATTCATTATGCATAAGGTACCATACCAGGAGAGATGCAAAGATTAAGAAGATAGCGGTTCTTGTTTTCATGGAGTTTATAATCTACCAGAGGAAATAAATAGGATATCTCCTCATGGTAGGGCAGCTAGGTGGTATAGTAGATAAAGCACTGGGCCTGGAGTCAGGAGAACCTGAGTTCAGATTTGACCTCAGACACTGACTAGTTGTGTGACCCTGGGCAAGTCGCTTAACCCTGTTTGCCTCAGTTTCCTCATTTGTAAAATGAGCTGGAGAAGGAAAATGGCAAACCATTCCAGTATCTTTGCCAAGAAAAACTCACAGAGTCACAAAGAGTCAGACATGACTGAAACGATTCAACAACTACCACCACTTATGGTAGGTCCTGTGAAACCCAGGAAGTTCTGAGGTAATATACACACACACTTTTGCTTGAATGGTACCTAACAAAGAGTTTACTTTTCTGAATAAATTCAATGGCCCTAACCAGAGCCCCTAATCCTTCGGTGACTCTAGACCACTTAATTCATTGATGTGGGAACTCCCACTGCAGAAACTCCCTTCACCAATGCAATTAGTAACTTTTCTGTAATTTATAGTCTTACAAGAGTTGTCTAGGGGTAGTAAGAGGTTAAGAGCCTAGCTCAGGGTCACAAAGCTATTAAGTCTGAACCCCAGGTCTTCCTGACTCCAACTCAGGAATTCTGAGTTGTTAAATAATCCTCCTTAATGCCTCAAAGTAGACTTGAAAATGGCTTTTTATAAAGATTGTCCTATTTTACTCCCCTACCTTTATTGCCATATGACTGACCATACAGGCTCTGGTGGCTATTCCCAAATCACCTTTTCTGTACAGTCACTTCCCCCACCTGATCCTCTCATTTTCTCTGAGTTAAATAGAAAACTTTCTTGTTCAATTTCCAGCTGTTTAGCTCTGAACTCATAAAAGGATGTGAAAACTTTAGGAATGAGAGCATTAACCATCAGTTCCATTAGTGGCAGATGTATCATCTGCAGGACACTTTTAGTCCCCGTTGATTTTTTTTTCTTTTTTGTCAGACAGAATGAAAATATTTTCAGTGAGGTAGGGAAGAGGATTAGCTGACTAATACCTAGGGAGATGTTCAACATCAAGCCAGACACTTTATCCACACAGCTATTCCCATGTGACAGAAAGCTATAAACTAAGCCTGAATCTCTTCTCATGGTTTTGACTTTGAATTAAAACAGTGATTATTTCTGAAAAATCAGATTTGCAAATATATTTTAAAACAGTCACATCAGAGAATGCTTGATATTACTTAAACAGAAGCATATCCTGTCATTATTAAGAGAATTACCAGGAGTGACTAATGTGCTAATAACTGCCTCCATTCACCTTTTCTCATACAGTACTAGGAAGATTCTGATACAAGTGTTGATGTTCGAACAGATGTAAGATATGTCTGGGGGCAGCTAGGTGGCGTAGGGGATAGAACTCTGGACCTGGCATTAGGAAGACTCACCTTCCTGAGTTTAAATCTGGCCTCAGACACTTACTAGCTGTGTGACCCTGGGTAAGTCGCTTAACCCAATTTGCCTCAGTTTCTTCTTCTGTAATATGAGCTGACAGAAATGGCAAACCACTCCAATATCTTTGCCAAGAAAACCCCAAATGGGGTCACCAAAAGTCAAACATGAAACGACTGAACAACAATAATGAAAGATATGTCTAACAAATATTAAGGGAGTGCAAATTTCTGTTGTTGGGGACAGGGGGATGATTTAGTAAAAATCACTGCATTGAGATCTCTCTGAACTTTGTGTTAGGTTCTTTGTTTGGGAAGAGCTCTGAAAAATATGTTTTGACTAATTCATTCCCCTCTTTTCCAAGTAGAGAAAATAATTATGTTTAATTAGGATAACCATGGTGGCATTATCTAAAGGATGCTAGGACTAGAGCTGGAAGAAACCTCAGAGGCCATGAAATTCAACCCCTTCATTTTAGAAATGAGAAAACTGACACCCAGGGAGATGAAGTGAGCTGTCCAAGGTGAGGAAGGGAGTAAGCATCAGAAGTGGGATAGGAACCTGGGTCCTCAGAGCAGGGACTGTCTCTTTATTTGTATCTTTCTTTGTATCCTTAGGACTTCAAACAGTGTCCAGTACAAAAGCAAGTGTCTGTTGACTCCAGAGTTAGTGTTCTTTCCACTGTCCCATGTTGTTGAATTCCACTTGACTCCTCTGAAATGAGCAAATTCAACTTTATGGTCACTTTAAACACTGGTACCATAACCATAGGATGATAAAATCCTAGATTTAGAGCTGGAACTTTAAAGGCCATGGAGTCTAACCCCTTCATTTTACAGATGCAGAAACTGAGGCACAAAGAGATTAACAGCTCGGAGTATGGACATTTAAACATGCTAATGGTCTACTCAGTATATATACTCTATATAAGTCTAGACCACTTAATTCATAGTATGAGAACTATTAGTGCAGGAACTTCCTCCTCCACCAATGAGATTAGCAACTTCTCTGTAATTTGGAGACTTTAGAGAGTAAACTAGGCAAAAAACTAGAAATTGAGGGGATGCTCATCAATTGGGGAATGGCTGAACAAGCCATGAATATAATGGAATATTATCATGCTATAAGAAATGATGAGCAGGCTGATTTCAGAAAAATCTGGAAAGACTTATATGAACTGATGCAGAGTGAAATGAGCAGAACCAGGAGAACATTGTACACAGTAACAGCAACACTGTGTAAAGATCAACTATGAATAACTTAGCTCCTCTCAGCAATACAATGACCCAAGGCAATTCTAAAGGACTCATGATGAAAAATGCTAACCACCTCCAGAGAAAGAACTGATGGACTCTGAATACAGATTGAAACCTGCCATTTTCACTTTCTTTATTTTCTGTCTGTGTGTGTTTTCCCTTTCAGTCTGTTTCTTCTTTCACAACATGACTAATATGGAAATATGTTTTGCATGATTGTATATAAATAATCTATATCAAATTGTTCACTGTTTTAGGAAGAGAGAAGGGGAGGGAGGAAGGGAGAAAAATTTGGAACTCAAAATTTTGTAAAAAGGAATCTTGAAAATTTTCTTTACATATAATTGGAAAAATAAAATACTATTTTAGAAAGAGAGAGTAGCCTAGGGGCAGTAGGAGATTAAGAGACTTATACAAAGCTAGTGTCTTCATGGAATCTGAATCAGGTCTTCTGTATTTCAACTTAGGGATTCTGAGTTGTTAAGTAATCCTCCTTAATTACTTGAAGTAAATTACTTGAAAATGACTATTTTTACAAAAATTATACAGGTGGTAGAGATAAGATGTCATAGCTGATTAACAGTGGGACATGGAACCAGGAAAAATGGGTTCAAGTCCAGCCTCTAGCACAGACTGACTGTGTGACCATGGAGAGATCTCTTTACCTGTCAGTGCCCAGGCAACAACACTCAAAGACGCTAAATCATAGATGAGTTGCAATTTGTACCAGTTAAGGAAATTCTACACTGGGAGGTCCCATACCAATGAATTAACAGTCTAGACTTTTCCTCTCTAAATCTTCATACATATGCTCCCCACCCCCCCCGACCCTAACCAGTAAAAGCTATTCTACATGATCATACTTTCTTAAGTGTTCATCATCCCAACCATCAAGAACTTTATGTCTTCATAAAAACAAGTCCACTAAAAAGAAATGAATGCTCATTCAGAATTTTGGTCTTCTCTTTAGATCCCAAAGCACCCAATCAACCCTTCTAGCTTTGTGCAGGTAAATATAACAATTCTGTATTATGTGCCATTGGATCATTTTTAATCTAGCAACTGAGAAAAGAGAGAAATCAATCATCAGAATTCTATTTATACTTCAATTGGATAGCTGATCATTTAAATAGGTATTCTTCACCAAAGCTAGTAGTGACTCTGTGCACATGAAAATGTATTAGAATTTCCCGTGGCTTTGCTCATGAGGAGGCTCCCAGGTTCAATAAGATTGTCACATATTGATACCCAGGATCAAACTACTGTGGCAATTGAGTGAACCACACTAACTCCATCTTGTGACTTAATTCTGGAGCTAGCTCAGTTCTCTTCCTGTTCTATTATGTTCTAGTCTGATTTTTGTCTCGTGAGAAAACTTTATTCATTTGTGGAAATTGTGAGAAAACATTATTGCATTGTTTAAACCTAACCCTGCATGGCTGGGAATCTGGACCACCTCTACCTGTTGCTTAGAGACTCTTAACCTAGGGTTAACCCCTAGACCTAGGTTGTGCTGACCAGAAGCCCCAGTCAGATCCAAAGACTGTTGTAAGGAGTTTTC